GACAGCAGCAGAAGAGGGAGCAGGAGGAGCCTGAGACTTTTCTTGATTTTTGATGCGCTTACTCCACTGCAGCTCGTGCTTTGCATTTAGCTGCCTGGTCATGCAGGTTGTGCTCAGGTTTAGCACATTTATGCCTCGCCTTAGGCGCAAACCACTCGTGTCTTGTCGTCAGCACATTGTCTGAAGAACTGCCATGGCAGGGAACTCGTTGGAGCTGGCTTTGGTGTGCTCGGTCCCTGGGTGCAGTGGGCAGTAACAGGTGTACTGTCTAGGGGACGGCTGCTCCGCTGTTGCACCCTGCTCCCTCTTATGCTGTGCTGGTGCCTCTGTGCGACCACCTCCTCTTCCTCCAAACTGGACAAGTCACTCGCATGACCTTGATTCCATGTGGGGTCTAGGACCTCATCATCCTCCACATCATCTTCCACCCACTCCTCAACCCTGCCCTCCTTGCCGGTCCGCACACTGCCGAAAGCCACAGCAGTTGTGTTTCATCATCATCAGAGATGTGCTGCAGTGGTCCTTGCATGTGCACACATAAGTGGTTGTGCATCAGTGCACTCCATCCCTTCCACTTCTGGGGCAGGGCTAGGTGGATGGCCCATGGAAACCCCACCAGCAGAGTCATTAAAAAGCATAAGAGACTGCTGCATGACTTGTGGCTCAGACTGCTTGGGTGATTTGCAAGGGGGTGAGGTGATAGACAGATGGCCATGGGCTGCAGGTTCCAACTCTGAGCTTTCAGTAGGGGACCGGGTGGGAGACAATGTGCAGGAACTGGAGGCACTGCCAGCCATCCAATCTACTATCGCCTGTACTTGTTCTGGCCTCACCATTCGTAAAGCGGTATTCGGGCCTACCAAATAACGCTGAAGGTTCTGTCGCGTACTGGCACATGAGGAAGGTGTTTCGCTTGTGCGTGTAGCTGGCACAGATCGACCACGTCCTCTCCTTGCAACAGGAATTCCACCAACACCAGAAGCACCACGACCAGGGCCACGTCCCTTATTTGATGCTCTCCTCATTCTTTGCGTTCACTCACCAAACTAACAGATGTTTTATATCAGGCGACAATGTAACCGCCAACAGACAACAATTTTTTTTTTTTAAGTTTATTGGACTGCAAGAAATGTACCGTAGGCCGCAAATGTACTATTTAGCACAGAAAAAATTAGAATTTTTACAAGTGCCCTGTAACCGCACTATTAGACACTTCTATTTGACTCTCAGATATGAAGTGCAGTCCGCAAATGTACTATTTAACGGATTAGCACCCAGAAAATAAGAATTTTTACAACTGTGCTATAAGCACACTATCAGACGCTTCTATTTGACTCTCTGATATGAAGTGCACGCCCCAAAATGTACTATTTAGCAGATTAGCACCCAGAAAATAAGAATGTTTACCACTGCGCTGTAAACGCAGTATTTGACGCTTCTATTTGACTCTCAGATATGAAGACCAGGCCCCAAAATGTACTATTTAGCAGTTTAGCACCAAAACAATTAGAATGTTTACAATTGCGCTGTAACCGCACTACTAGACGCTTCTATCTGACTCTCAGATATTAAGTGCAGTCTGCAAAATGTACTATTTAACGGATTAGCACCCAGAAAATAAGAATTTTTACAACTGTGCTATAAGCACACTATCAGACGCTTCTATTTGACTCTCTGATATGAAGTGCACGCCCCAAAATGTACTATTTAGCAGATTAGCACCCAGAAAATAAGAATGTTTACAATTGCGCTGTAACCACACTATTAGATGCTTCTATTTGACTCTCAGATATGAAGACCAGGCCATAAATGTACTATTTAGCAGTTTAGCACCAAAACAATTAGAATATTTACAATTGCGCTGTAACCACACTATTCGACGCTTCTATTTGACTCTCAGATATGAAGTGCACGCCCCAAAATTTACTATTTAGCAGATTAGCACCCAGAAAATAAGAATGTTTACTACTGTGCTGTAAACGCATTATTTGACGCTTCTATTTGACTCTCAGATATGAAGAGCAGGTCACAACATGTACTATTTTGCAATTTAGCACCAAAACAATTAGAATGTTTACAATTGCGCTATTACCGCAGTATTTGATGCTTCTATTTGACTCTTAGATATGAAGAACAGGCCACTAAATTTACTATTTAGCAGATTAACACCCAGAAAATAAGAATGTTTACCACTGCACTGTAAGCACACTATTAGACGCTTCTATTTGACTCTCAGAAATGAAGAGCAGGCCACAAAATTTACTATTTAGCAGTTTAGCACCAAAACAATTAGAATGTTTACAATTGTGGTGTAACCGCAGTATTTGTCGCTTTTATTTGACTCTCAGATATGACGTGAAGTCCGCAAATGTACTATTTAGCAGATTAGCACCCAGAAAATAAGAATGTTTACCACTGCGCTGTAAGCACCCTATTAGACGCTTCTATTTGACTCTCAGATATGAAGTGCACCCCACTAAAATACTATTTAGCAGTTTAGGACACAAATAATTTTTACGTTTTAAAACTGCAATGTGACAGCAGTATTTGACGATTCTATTTGACTCTCAGATATGAAGTGCACCCCACTAATGTACTACCCCACTAATGCACTATTTAGCATCAAAAAAACCCTTTTTTTAAAAACTCTAAAGTAACCGCGGTATTTGAAGCTTCTGTTTGATTCTCAGATATGAAGTGCACCCCACCCCACCAATGTACTAGTTTGCAGAATTGTTTCCTAAGCTGTCCGTATCAGCGGCAGCATCCTATCCCTACACTAATAAGGCCGCATGTGCGTGCGGCGCTACGTGACTCCAGCTTATATATAGAGGCTGGGTCACATGCTGCACTGGCCAATCACAGCCATGACATTAGTAGGCATGGCTGTGATGGCTTCTAAGGGCACACGAGTCAAACGCTTGTTGATTGGCTGCCCTGAAGCCTTTGAAAACGCGCCATTAAATCGCCGAACACCGAACTCCAACCCAAACATACAGTGATATGTCCGTTTTCGGGTCCGGGGTCCAAAAAACGTAATGTTCATGTTCGCTCAACTCTAGTCTCAGGGCCTTAATTGGATCAGAAAATCACAGACAGCGGTCAAATCTGCATTCATATGGCCCTTGGACATACAACCTGACCACTCAGCTCAAAGGTTCGCCATACATAAAAAAAATGGCACTAGTCTAAAAAAGTATTTACAGCAGCTCCGGTCACCTCCGTTCAGCTCCCCCGTTCAGCTCACAGTGTAAGTCTCGCGAGACTCGCGTCCGTCAGAGCGTTGCCACGGGTTACCATGGCAACACTCCGCGCGGCACGCAGACCGCGAGATTTACACTGTGAGCTGAACGGGAGAGCTGAACGGAGGTGACTGGAGCTGCTGTAAAGGTAAGCAACAGCTTGCTGCCGGTGCCCCCTGCACAGCCCATGCCACTGGATCACCAGGGAATAATATAGCCCCCCTTCCTGGCCAGGTAACAAGCAGGTAGGGGGGACAAAAAAAAAAAAATTAAACAATTAAATAATTAAAATAATAAAAATATTATTACATTAAAATAATAAAACTGCCATATCCCCCCTCCCTGGCCAGGTAACAAGCAGGGAGGGGGGACAAAAAAATAACAAGTAAAAAAAAAAAAAGTATTAAAATAATAATAATAAAATAAAAAATCTGAATGATAAAAATGCCCTCCCCCCACCCAGTTTACACACACTACACAAACACACACACTGCATCATATAAACACACACTGCATTCTATACACACACACTCTGCATTATATTCAAACACACTCTGCATTATATACACACACTCTGCATTATACACACACACTGCCTTCATACAAACCTATACTCTGCATTATATACACACACACACTGCATACACACATTCTGCATTCATTATATACACACGCTACACAAACACACACACTGCATTCATTATATACACACACTGTAAATAAATATTCAATTAATCTAATTTTATTTAGAAATTTACCAGTAGCTGCTGCATTTCCCACCCTAGGCTTATACTCAAGTCAATATGTTTTCCCAGTTTTTGGGGGTAAAATTAGGGGCCTCGACTTATATTCGGGTCAACTTATACTCGAGTATATACGGGTATATATTTTGTGATGAATTGTGCATTTTAGCCACTTTTTTCTGTCCTTGTATAAGTGCCATCCCTATTTTTTCAGTAATCAAATAACGTATGCGTCAGGTGAAAGGCATGTATTGATTGAAATGCACTTTAAAAAAAACTTTGTGCCGCAAGAACATTTTCCGCACACGTCCCTTTCCCTCCGAGGATTAATGGCGTCAAAAGAAAACGACGGCAGACAGGTGCATGGATCTGGATTCACCAAATTACGCAAATAAGGCGTGAAAAATCATTTCCGCTGGAGGAATTTAAAACCAAGACGGCAACAGAGTTTATTTCATGCACTGGAGAAAGACATTCGTCAAAATGCGTAAGCTATTATTTCCATAATACACTAACACAACACACACTGCATACACTAACACAACACACACACTGCATACACTAACACACACACACTGCATACACTAACACAACACACACTGCATTCACTAACAAAACACACACACACACACACTGCATTATAAACAAACACACACACTGCATTCATACAAACACACTCTGCATTATATACACACACACTGCATTCATTATATACACACACACACTGCATTCATACAAACACACTCTGCATTATATACACACACTGCATTATATACACACACACACATTCATTATATACACACACACTGCATTCATACAAACACACTCTGCATTATATACAAACACACTCTGCATTATATACACACACTCTGCATTATATACACACACAGGGCCGCCATCAGGGGGTGACAACCGTGACTGTTGCTCTGGCAGTCCTGGGCCCCACTTTCCCTCTCTGCACACATAGATAGCGAATATCGCTATCTATGTGTGCAGCCGCGGGCCCCCTGATACCGCAGAGGAAACCAGCACACAGTTTCTCCTCCTCTCTTCTAATAACTCTTGCGAGACCCGCAGAGCATTGCCATGGTAACCTGGTCTTGCGAGAGTTATTAGAAGAGAGAAGAGAGGAGAAGCTGTGTGCTGCCTGGGCCCC